CCTCTTGCGAGCCCCACCCCGTCCCGGCGTCCCGCATCTCAGCGCAGCCCGGCCGCTCGGGCAGGCGCCCGGAAGGGCTATTGTTTGGCCAGGGCGGCGGGGAAGCCTGGGTGATCTCTGCACACCCAGCAGCCAGCGCAGTGGTTCCCTCCGAGCACAGCCCTCCCAGCACAGCCCTCTGCTGACAGGCGGCCGGGTGTGTTAATTGGAGCAGCAGGGAGGCACAACAGCTGCTCCGAGCCACACGCTCAGCCAGGCATCAGCCCGGGCCCAGCCCTGATGGCAACATCAAAACACGCTTCGCTGAGGGGCTCCGGGTGGGCTCCGTGTTGGCGCCCCACTCTCAGCAGGCAAGGGGGCCACCGCCCTGGGAAGAGACTGTAAAAAGTCTCCCTCCACTGCCACCCACCTCGAGCAAACCTGGGCGGCTACACCTCAACGCACAGGCGGGCAAGGGGTCCCACCATGAGCAGACCCGCATCCTCCTGGGGGAGACAGTGGAGGCAGAAACGCCTTGTCCATCCTTAATCGTTAAAAACTCCAAGCTTAAAAAAATGTTTTCTGAGCAGGATGGCAAGAAGCACCTGAGACCAGAGAGAGGTCCACTTCAAGTCTAGATGGGTCAGCGTTAGCCTTGGATAAGCTTTCTCTTCCTTTCTTCTGCATCAGGTCTCCATACGTGAATGAGAATTTCTGACACCAGGAAGAGTTCGACATGTTTACAACTTAATTAACCGAGCATGTGGGCACACTACCTGCTAAACTGGGGCTGCCCTGCAGCTCTATGGGTGCAGAAATCCCGTTTTTCTTGCCGTACAAAGGCTGCTCGGTGTCCGGGTGATGCCAAGGTTGCAGGACCACCCCAGAGGGAACCGACGGCACCTTGCACTTGCTGTGGTCAGAGTCCCAGCAACTTGACCACACTTTAATCTAGATTTAGCTACTTTCAGATACCAATTGCTAATGGTGGGATAGCGAGACATTTACTTCAAGAGGAAAATAGCTATGAGCAAAGAATATTTCGGTTCTGAAATACGTAAAGTTACCTGCAACGGCTCCATGAGTTTCCCGTATTCTGAGAGGTTTCCCGTGGTTTTATGGCTTAGGAGTGAGTTTGTGAAAAGAAACACAAACTTAATGATGCTGAAGAAAGATGCTATAAAATGTTTCATGAACCTCTTTAAACAAAAAGTTCCCTTGTCCTTTGGTTCCAAATCCTCCCTTTATTATTCAGACTCCTTCAACCAAGACAAACTAGAACAATTAAAAAACAATGAACCAGAAATTTGAAAGTCTGGATTCTAGACCTTGACCAGGCCACTAAATAAGCAATAATACATAATTTTTAAAATTTAATCTCACATCCCTTGCAATGAGGTATCAGTGTACCTCCATGAATGAACAAAGAAAGTTCAGAGGCATGTTAGTGGCTTGTCACAATTATGTAGCTGACACCGTTAAGGAATTTTCATGCAAATTCAGAGATGATCTTGTCTAGATAAGAATTACATGCATTCAGGTTCATTCTTTTCTATGTCAGTTTGTTCCTGATATGGAGTTTGAAAACCCTTGTTGGCATTCATTTTGAACGGATCAAAGGTGTACCCTGGTTTGTGTGATCGACTCCTCAACTACATGTTGTCCCCCAGAAATAATGCAGGAAACAAACTTTACTCACACACCCGAATGACCGTGACTCCTAAATTAGCAGAGTCCACAGCGCTTAAGGTTTGTACTTAAACAGCTTCAAGTTCCATCTGAAAGAACTAGCATAGAACAGAGAAGACTCCTTTTGCACAGGACAACTTTCCACATTCCACTAGAGTTGACTGACTTTTAGTTTTCGGATGTCAGGAGACTGATTGTCCCAAGCAGTGGCATGCAGCCATGTTCTGCACAAGAACCCAGGCAGACCGCGTAAAATGATCTCTAGACCAAGCTGTTTGTTTTCAGAAACAAACGGGAATTGTGCCTGAGCACCTTTCTCTTATGGGCTTACTTCTGAAGGTTTGCTTTGGAGGGTTCACATGTGAGGATGTGACTGGACAGAGGCTGTTTTGACACCTGGTGAGGTCTGCTGGTGCCGGAGGTCAGAGTGATGGAGCCACAGCCCGAAGGCATGCGGGAGGGTGGAACAGCCCACCAACTGACAACTGATGACCACCAGGTGGCTGGGAAGCAAGAGCAGGAAGGTGTGGCTTCAAGGCAGTCTCCGGCGTCTCAAAGAACGAAGTATGTGTTACAATCCAAAAGACAGGAGGTGATGCTGGGAGCAGTGGAAGTGGTTCCTTGGGCTGAGTCCTCCTGGGCCCACACCTCTGTATCTTTCCCGTCTACCAAAATGCACTGCGGCCCGCAGCGATGGACCCGTCAGGAGAGCGGAGCACAAGTCCCCTCTGGTCCGCTCAGCCAGGCGTGCCGCTCCCTCTGCAGAGGGGCTGAGCCTCACCCTGTGGCACAGCCCAGGGAAGTGGTGCCCCTTGCCAGTCACTACACCCTACAGTCTGCATAGTTGGGACACTTCAGAGGTGGCAAATGGCTGTTCACAGAGCAAATATTTTCCACCAGCATGTTTTGTTTGGCGCATACAAGTGTTTGGGGTTTCGCTGTTGTTTCTTTAACTGGACTGGCATCTAAGAGTCAGGGGATTTCACAAATAAATTAAGCCTCAAATCTATCACTGAAACATCAACAGATCTGGCAACCTGGGCCCTCCTCCACTGTGGCAACCATTGGTGACAGCTGCATGGTGACGGCCACCCACAACCAAACACGTGCTTTCCATTCAGCCTGGGCCCTTCCTGGTCCCACCGCCCCCAGTCAACCCCGGCCCCTGCGGGTCTTGCTGCTTGTGACCCATGGTCGAGGCGCCATCCTGGCTGGCCAGTCCCCAAACACTCGTTCCTTTGGGAGAGGCTCCAACATCCTGTGCTTCCACGTGAAGAAAGGAGACCATTAGAACAGATGGCTCTCCGTGAAGCTAAATGTTCACTAAAGTACCATATTAAATTGCTCAGGAAAATTTGTTCACATGAGAAAATAAAGCAGGTTGGATTACTCAGCAAAATGTACTTCAACCAAGAATAGCAAATATATGCTAACAAATATATACATATTGTGTGTGTGTGTGTGTGTGTGTGTGTGTGTGTGTGTGTGTGTGTGTGTATCTTTTGAGATGAAGTCTCACTCCGTCGCCCAGGCTAGAGTGCCGTGGCATACTCACAGCCACCCCAGTGTCAACCTGCTGGGCTCCAGCGATCCTTCCACCTCAGCCTTCCAAGTGGCCGGAACTACAGCTGCAGGCTACCATGCCAGGCTCATTTTTTGATTTATTGTAGAGACGAGGGCTTACTAAGTTGCCCAGGCTGGTCTCGAATCCCTGAGCTCAGACAATCCTCTCACCTCAGCCTCCAAAGTGCTGGGATTATAGACCTGAGCCACTGCACCCAATGTATATTTAAATACACACTTAATACTATGTATTTAAGTAAGCAGACCTGACCCTAACAGAAGATGGAGTTCGATCCCTGCAACCGTTTCTCAGGCATCATTCTGAGTTTAAGAGGGGACGAGAAGTCATTCCTCACAAGGATCCCAGGATAAAGCCCAGGCTGGTCCCTGTACTCTCACGCTGTGGACAAATGCCTTACGCCTGTAGAAAAGCACTAGCTCCCATGCTCGGATGATTACAGATGGGTTTCCACTGAACAGAACCTGCATTCACGTAGACATGTGTACAGGGTGCACCGGACGCGTTCAGCGGACACAGAGCACCCTCCGCTGCCACCACAAATGCCGATGGTACCCGCCCCCCTGCATTGTGACAGCCCAGAATGTAGGGGAAAAAATCATTATTTTTAGAAGATGTTTTCCCTGAATAATTCCTGACTGGGTTTCTAATTTGATTCTGCCCAATCACTAATTATTTGTGCTGTTGACTAAATAAAGCACGGAACCACCTGCTAGACTGACACACACTGCACAAGTGTGTTGGGCTGCAAACTCATGGCCACGCTACGCCAACCCATCCATCTGTGAGCTAGTTCAAGGTCGACCCTCCATTGGCTACAAGATTCCAAGCGAGAAAGACAGTGGAGGACAGGGCTCGTGGTTTGATCATGTTTGCTTACTGAGCGTGAAATGAAATTTAACTGAGACATGTCTGCATTTATAAATTTATTGTGGTTGTTGAGACTTCTTGCAAAATGAAATGTCAGGCCGTCATTCTGAGATTCCAAACATATTAAGCTCCAAAGGGCTCGGATGACTAAGGTTATTCGCTCAGTTTTCAAATGTTGTCTTTTCCTATCCCAGAGAATTAATTAATATACTCGCTAAGTGTGGGATGAACACAGAGAGTAAAAGTAAAAGCATAGAAATAGTTTCCGAATTGGAAACGCTAAGTGTGCCACCTGACTGTCGGAAGGGGTTTGAAA